GAGTGTTTTTCTGCATGTGGGCCCGCCAGTTAAAACCCGACATGACACAAATATCTACATTATTTTGCACTGTATCCATGGATTTTCTGTACCTTGTCTAAATCAAGGTGAGGATGGAGCCTAACACAAAGTATTTCAGGTATAAATATGGTACACCCTGGGCAGGTTGCCAGACCATCACTGAGCTGGAACTGCACAATGTAACTATATAAAAAGAGAATTTTACTGAGATGTTTATGTCCAATATCATGGATTGAAAAGAGGGAATTTCAAATACCATCCGATGGAGAAAATCTCTCTCACTATTGTTTAGGCAACAGAACCACACTTTGTGCCAGAAGATTTTTTTAACATTTCTACTTGCAAGGTCAGATTTTCAGATGAGGTTACAAACATATATTACATATATAGATGTGATGAAACATGAGAACCAGTCACCAAAAAAAAAAACCCACAAGGTGTCATGCTTTTGCCCCTCACAGCCTGTCATGTTTGTGTTTTTTTTTCCTACCAAGTTTTGCCTGTTCCTGTCACTCAATCTCACCCATCAATCAAGTTCATGCTCTACACCTGTTCTCCACCCTACTTAAGCTCCCTGCATTCACTCAGTCAGTGCCAGATTCTCAAACCTTTCACAAGCAGTAGAAATCCAGTATACCTGATCTTGTCTCTTGCCACAACTCCTTGCCTGTTTTTGACTCCTCACCTTGCCTGAACCCTCTTGGATTTTGTCTGCCTATCTGCCCATGGTTTCTGACTCTGCCTTCCCCTTTTGACCACGTCATTTGGATCATGATTCGGCCCTGTTCTCGCTTCTCTTCTTCTATGGTTTTGACCCCTGCAACGACTCACAGACCACGATTCTGGATTTCCCTGTTCTGGACCTCAAGTCGGTTAATCTGCTCCACTGAAGCAACCTACTTTACTGGAGGGACATCACCGACTGCAGTTTGACTACAGACTCTGCTGCAACATCAAGACAGTAGGTTAGTGTTGACACCAACATTCACTTGCACGTCCAGAACTTAGTCCAAGCCTCTAACTCTTCTGTCTTGACAGATTGGACCCAGCCCAGGACCTAGACCTCCACCAAAGATTTTCCTCTTCACAATAAAATTGTTGAACTACTCTTGGGCTTGTTGATGTTGCTGATCCAAAACCCAGATCTTGTCAGTAGAATGTGTCCAAAAATAATGGATCCACCATCAGCCCAAGAGTGGCGCTCTGGTGTGGAGGGGGCCATAGGTAAACTAGAATCTACTTTAGATGAGATTATGGTTGTGCTCAAAGCTGTGTCACAGCAACCCTCTACTAAGGACTCTGCTCACGCAGCCACTGCCCATGCACTTTCTCACCAATTACCTACTGTTTATAATGAACCTTGTCTGTCTCCTCCAGAGTTGCTTAGAGGAGAGCCTGATCAGTGTAGACCGTTTCTCACTCAACATGAGATCAATTTTCAACTGCAGTCATCTTCATTCCCCTCTGAACGGTCTCGAGTGGCCTGTGTCATCTCACTCCTCGCAGGTAAAGCGAAGTCATGGGACATCTTTTAGTGGCAGATAGACTCTAGGTGTTGTCACAGCTTTGCAGCCTTTGCCAAAGAACTGTGCAAAGTATTTGACGCTGTCCTGCCTGAGAGGGAGGCTGCACGCAAATTGTTCTCAGTTAAACAAGGTAACGAAATATTAACAGAGAATAGTATTGTGTTCCACACCATTGCAGCTGACAGTCGTTGAAACAAGTGTGCTTTAACTGACGCTTTTTTCCAAGGTCTTAATGACAACATAAAGGACACGCTGGCAACCCAGGATTACAGAGTCCCTCCAGGAGTTGGAAGACCTGGCAACCCACATCGACCTATGGCTGTGGGAGAGGGACAGAGAGAGGGGCAACAGGCCAATGAGAACTTCCAGACCTTGGGTTGAGTCAAAAACCATTTCTCCTACATCTGTAGCTACCACTCCCAAGTCACCTAAGATGGAGGAACCGACGCATCTGGGAAGAAGCTGTCTCACCCCGAAGGAAAGAGAAAGACGGAAAAAGTTTCAATTGTGTTTTTTTATTGTGGAGAAAATAAGCATACTATTAGCCAATGTCTGTTAAAAGGACCAGATTCAGCAGGGAAGAGGAGGCACCTGCTAAGTCAGATCAGAAAGCCCATAACCTATTCCCCCATTCACTGTGCCTGCTGAAATTTTAATAGATGGTAAAGAACCTGCCCATGTGGCTGCCTTCATTGATTCTGGGGCATACATAGAGTTCATTGATCATCAGTTTGCTCTATCAGTCGGTATTGAATTAATTCAGTCTTCCAGTACTCATAAAGTTCTCGCTTTAGATGGTCACTCTCTTAATAACTCTGACCTCTAAACCAAACCTGTCACTCTATTACATGGGGCAATAACAAAATGAAGTTTAGTGTTATTAACTCTCCCCAGCTTCCAGTTGTTCTTGGCTCTTCCTGGTTGAATAAACATTAACTCTCCCCAGCTTCCAGTTGTTCTTGGCTCTTCCTGGTTGAATAAACATAACCCACATATCAACTGGAGGGGTAAGGAGATTGTTGGCTGGGCCGACGACTGCCTCACTACTTGTTTATTTGATGCTGTTATACCTTCAATGAGTCCCACTGATGTCAAAGAGATGTATCCTGACCTCTCTAAGGTCCTAGCCAAGTACCATGACCTCAAGGAGGTATTTAATTAGATTAAGGCAACCTTGCTTCCCCCGCACTGACCCTATGACTGTGCCATAGACCTCATTCCTGGCACCACTCCACCTAAGGGTGGCTTGTATTTGTCTGGTCCTGAACATGACTCTATGCAGAAGTACGTCAAGGAATCTCTCAAAGCTGGTATCATTAGACCTTCTGCGTCTCCTGCTGGGGCGGGGTTTTTCTTTGTGAGAAAGAAGGATGGGTCTCTTACGCCTTGTATTGACTACAGGGGGCTCAATAAAATCACTATTAAAAACAAGTATCCTCTTCCCCTCATGTCCACATTTTTTGACATCATCCAGGGAGCCACTGTTTTTACCAAGCTTGACCTAAGAAACGCCTACCACCTGGTCCGCATCAGGGAGGGGATGAGTGGGAAAACTGCGTTCAACACTCCTAATGACCACTACAAGTACTTGGTAATGCTGTTTGGTCTTGCTAATGCACCGGCAGTTTTCCAAACCTTAGTCAATGACGTACTTCGAGACATGGTAAACTAGTACGTTTTTGTGCACCTTGACAACATCCATGTGTTTTCTAAAGATTTGTCTTCCCACCGCAAACATCTCAGATCAGTCCGAGTCAGACTGCTACAGAATAACTTTTTTGTTAAAGCTGAGAAATGAGTTCCATCAGACTTCCACCTCTTTTCTCGGTTTTAATATCTCTCCTAATCGGGTTACTATGGACCCTGGCAAGGTCTCTGCAGTTATGGATTGGCCTGTTCCAAAAGACAGGAAACAGTTGCAAAGATTTCTCGGATTTGCCAATATTTACAGAAAGTTTATTAGGAACTATAGCTCCATTGCCAGTCCACATCATTCCCTAACATCATCAAAGACCAAGTTTAGTTAGAATGAGGCTGCTAGTCTTGCTTTTGAAAGACTCAAAAAGTTGTTTTCTTCTGCACCCATCCCACATGCTCCTAACCCTGACAAGCCTTTCATTGTGGAGGTGGATGCCTCTAGTACAGGGGTTGGAGCAGTTCTCAGCCAGCGCAGCAACGAGGGACGAGTTCTTCCATGTGCATTCTTTTCAAGAAGTCTTTCTGCTGCTGAACGTAACTGTGACGTGAGGGAACGTGAGCTGCTGGCTGTGAAGTTGGCTCTTGAAGAATGGAGGCACTGGCTCGAGGGTGCTAAGGAACCCTTCCAAGTGTTGACAGATCATAAGAACCTTGAGTACCTCTGCACGGCTAAACGACTGAAACCTAGACAAGCCAGGTGGGTCCTATTCTTCTGTCAATTCAAATTTTTATTATCTTACGGGCCTGGAACACAAACCCAATGCATTGTCTCGTATTTCTGAGGAGAATGGGACAACCAAGACTGAGGTAGAGTTTATCTTACCAGATAATGTACGTCTGTCTATGACCCAGCTGGAGTCGGACCTACGATGGGCCAATCAGACCCATCCTCCTGCCAACTGCCCTAGTAACCGTATATTTGTTCCCAGCAACAAAATAGAAGAGGTACTCGAACTCTGTCACAATTCACATTTGTGTTGTCACCCTGGTATTGCTAAGACCCTCTGCATGGTAAAATCACAGTTTTTTGGTGGGAGACCTACTAAAGACGTCAAAGATTTTGTTAACTCCTGCCATTCTTCGCTCTTGCCAAGATGGCCGCGCTCAGAGCAGTTGCAGCTTCACAGGCTCCCGGTACCATCCCAGTTTTTAGAAGTTTTGATATTGACTCCGTGCCTGACTCCGCACGATTTATGCGTGTGAACTATAGCCGAACCGAACTGATGAGAATAGGAGCGGATTTGCCACGAAATATAGCAGAAATCAGCAACAAACTCAAAGCTACGCTCGGCAGAATGCAGATCTTAAAGTCATCTACCTGGAAGCTGCAGCAGAGGCGTTCCAGCGGGCAGAAGAGGAAGCGCTGCTCCCGGCTTAAGAGGAGAGGATGCCGGGCGGGGGTTATGGTGAGGCTACGAGCTAACGCTAAAGCCGGTAAACTCCCCACGCCGTCTCTCTTTCTGTCGAATGTCCGCTCGTTGGACAACAAGATGGATTTACTTCGTCTGAGAGCGGGCGCCTCAGAAGAGATGAAGAAGTGTGCAGTGCTTTGCCTCACGGAAACGTGGATTACAAGTGAAACGCCGGACTCAGTCTTCTAGCTGGATGACAGACTTTTTTTTCGAGCGGACCGCTGCAGCGAGCTAACGGGGAAATCACGGGGGGGCGGAGTGTGCATTTACGTGAGTAAAAGTTGGTCCACGAACTGTACTGTTGTAAATAGCTCATGCTCGAAGGCTTTGGAGCAAATAACAGTGAAATGTCGGCCACATTATCTACCCCGAGAGTTCACAGTGACTTTTATCACAGTTGTTTACATTCCTCCGGACGCTAATGCTAACGAATCACTACAGGAGCTTCATGATATCATCAGCTCGCTGCAGAGCAAACACCCCGAGGCTCTTTACGTTGTAGCCGGAGACTTTAACCACGTGAATCTAAAGGACTGTCTCCCAAGCTTTAATCAGCATGTGACGATTCCGACACGTGGAGACCGCACGCTGGACCGTGTTTACACGAACGTAAAAGATGCATACAAAGCCGAACCCCGCCCCCACCTAGGACTGTCAGACCACATCTCAATCTTCCTGGCTCCTGCTTACATGCCCCCGCTGAGACGCTCCAGACCGGTACAAAAGAAAGTTAAATGTTGGATCCAGGACAGTGGCCCCATACTGAGAGATTGTTTTGACCGAACAGACTGGCAGGTTTTCAGAGAAGCTGCTGAAAATGGAGGTTCGCTTGATCTTGACCAATACACATCCTCAGTACTGGGTTACATTAGTACATGTACTGACACAGTCTCCACTATCAGAAATGTTAAAAGCTACCCAAACAGAAAACCTTGGCTGAATGCAGAGGTGCGTACCCTGCTGGAAGCCAGGAACACTG